GGTCTGGATGGGCCCGGGCTCCCTGCCCTTGGTGGATTCTGGGAACTGGTGGTACCTGTGGGGGAGTTGGTTTGAGAGAGGGGCTACTTTGCCCTCCCCCAATCCTTTCATCCCTATCCCCAAGCGCCTCCCGCTCCATCACACCACAGCACATGCAGGCAGAGGGGAGGCATTCCTCTGTCCACTTGTGCCTCAGTTTTATTCCACAACTTAGAAACTCGCATTACTTACACTCATGACACATGTGTATAGGGTCTTGGGGGGTGGGTACACTAAACCGCGTCCAGAGGTCGGTCTGTTTATTCAGCCTCACCTCTGGTGCCGGTGCCCACCTCTCAGTTTTAACTACATGTAGACATTGAGGGTTCTCGGGAGGGGCCGTGCCGACACGAGCTACTATCTGGCAGAGGGTCGTTGGCACAATGCCCCCCTCCTGTTGTAAATGCACCTTAGAACAGCACGCATCAACACCAGATATGAGCAGGCGGAGTGAGGTGTGGGGTCTTCAGACACCTCCGTTCTGTTTGACATCTGGGGGGGTGGGCTGGGAGGAGGAGCTGGCCTTCTGGTCGGGATCTGGGCTGTTGGACTTTGCTGCTGCTGCAGGACCGGGGATGGTCTGCTTGTCTCCACTCCAGAGTAAAGGAGCCATCTGCTGGGTCTGGGGTGGATTGTGTGTCCCTGTTGAGTGAGTGCTTAGTATTTGTGTATGTGTGCATGAAGCTGGGAATGCATGTTTGTCGATGTTTATGTGTTAGGTCGGGTCTTAGACTCACCTCTCTCAGAACAACTCAGGCCCCCACACCAGGGGGGGCCTATCTCCCCCCCACCACCACACTGCCAGTGGCTGATACCTGAGCACCCAGCCTCGGCGGGTGGGGGTAAGTACTGGCTCACTCCCAGCGGCTGCTCGGTTGGGCCCCTTCTGGGAGTGTGGAGGGGTCTCGGGTCTCTGTGCCCCGTGCTCAGTCTGTTCTGGCATAGCTGGCTGCCAGCGGCGCCTGCAGGCTCGTCGTCGCACCTCCCCATGGTTTCTGCACCACAACCCTGTCCGGGGCTCCCCTCACCTCTTTTCTAGGTGGGTGGCGCGACTGCCCCTGTGGTGGTCCTCCTTGGGCTCTGGGGGGCTCTAGATGTCTAGGGCCTGGATCTCTTCTATGCCTGCTTCATGTCCTTTGGTGCAGAGGCTGTGGCTCCCCACACTTACTATTAGACAGTTACATGGAGCAACCTTATGCTTCCATGTGTTTGGCTGATTAGACACTTGCAGGTGTACCTATTAAAATAGCTGATGTAGGTGGAGTGTAGATTGCTGTGTTAAGCCAGCAGAAATAAACCTTTATAGCCTGGCATTAAAAAATAACTGCTGATTGGGTTTTTTAATGAGAATGAGATAAGTAATCCATGTCTGTGTTCTTCCAAGAGAACGATGGGTTACTGTGGACATGTCCAACTGTGTCAAACACACAAGGGCTTGTTTGCCCTTTACTGTGGTGAAAATAAGCCTTCATAGCTGAGTTTAATAGAATTGTTGTTGGACATTCAAATGCATGGAAAACATACTGTTAATTAACATTTATATGGCTCTGTTTGTCTAAATCACTGAACATGCTGGTAGCCAAGCAGTGAAGCAGCTGGTGGCAGTGAGAAGTAACGTCCGGGGAGAGCGGTCACACAACCTGACTACGTTAGAGTGGGAGGTTTTTGTTAAGCTTTTATTTTGGTAGAATAAATTTGCATATTAGCTAAATATTTAGTTTCCTGTAACATTTAGTTTTAAATATAAAAAGTTACAAATATTTTTGTAAATTTGTAATTTACAAATTGCAAATTAATTTACAAAAGTGCCTCAAAAAAACATGTTTTATAAGGTTTGGAGCTAAATGTGGAAAAATGTTGCCGTAAATTTCAGCATGTTTCAGTTTACAAATGGCGCCCCATATGGTTTTGCCTCAGTTTGTTTTAAAAATTTAAATGGCGATCTGTGTGTATATAAATATAAAACAATCTTATAATGTTCTCGAAAAGGTCTTTCTTTGCAAAGGCTCCCTTTTGTTTTTTTGGGCACAGATCACTTTCCATACCAGATTCCTTGTCGAGCCCAAATACGGCTAAAAGATTTGTGGATGTCTGTCTCCACCTGGCGATGGAGTTAAGAGGAAAGAGGCGCGGAGAAGCTTGAGCATCCGGTTCTGTCAGCTTCGCTCTCTCTCTCGCTCTCTCTCGCCGTAAATGAAAGCCTCATCCTCAGGTATGCCTCCTAACCCGATGCGCTCCAGCGGCAACAACTACTACTACCGGAGGCGGCCGATTCACTCTCTCGGTTTGATGGAACACACACACATAGCCAAAGGAAAATCTGCGCTGTAATAAAAGTAGGAACTTCAGGGAGAACAGCTGATTTAAAGAAAATAAATAAATAAAAAATAGCCTCGGCCATGGCGACAATAGGGGATTTCGACCCACTCAACTCCACCGTACCTGCTACAAAGATTGAAATCACCGTTTCTTGCAGGTAAGCCCCGGATCTTTGAGCTCTGACAGATTTAGACATTACTGGATGTTTGTAATTAAAGTCAGTTTTTTTCTTCCAGATGTTTGTTTTATTTTTATTCCATCCTATATTCTCGTGCGTAATTTTCTGCCCTCGGTACACTTTTCCATGTTTCCATTCCAGTGTTCCTTGTCTTTATCCTGGGCTAAACAACTCTTTTTTTTCCTCAAAGGAGGAATTTGCATGTGCTGTGGGTGTTTAAGTGCGTGGGGTTGCAGCAACCAACCGTAGCAGGATTTATTCCGAGTGCCTCGGAGAGCTCCGGAGAGTGCAACTCTCAGATCACACGAATATCTAGATATTAAATGTACCATCTGTTAAAAAAGAAAAGAAAAAGATTCGCACGCCAACAGTGTTCAAAAAATAAAAAAATAAGTTATAAAACAACTGAAAGAGACCATATCTTAATTTACAAGCAGGATATCAGAGCACGGAAACTGCGCTCCAGCGCTGTTACACAGTAGTTTGTAAATAGTTATTAAAATCTCAATATTTTGTATTTTTAATGAGCCTATAGAGCAAAAGAATAAGATGTACAAGTATGCAAGGTGCTTAAACGTGGTCAAAGTTTTGATGTGTACTAAGAAGAGGGTCTAAAAGCGACATAA